GCACACTGCTTTTAAGAAAATCCTCATCTCCACTGCAGAAACTATAGTTTGCCACTAAGAGTCCTTTAAATACCTTCAAAGTTATTAGTGCCAAGAACACATATGAAGTCAGGAAGAAATCACATCGCATGCGAATAAACCGAAATAATTCAAAAAATAAAGGAAACAAAAAATAACAAAGACGAACGAAAAACTGTACAAAAACAAGAAGTAGGTGAAAGTAGAATCGACTTTGAACACATACAACATGGCTTCCTCAAAAGGTTTATTATAACGCCATAGTTGAAAGGCAACAAAAATTCTATTTCATACATTAGTGGTACTTTATGCACATTTCTTATGATATTCTACTCTACGAAGTGAAACGAGAACAGTTTTCGAGACCAGACAAACCATTAGGGTACGACATTTATTTTGAATTTATTTCTTATATCGTTTTCCTCCGCTCAAACGTTGGAAAAGTCGAACAGCGCGCCTATCAGCCTCTCCAGAGTTCTCAGACCGCTTCCCAGAAAGGGTTGATTGACACGGCACGATCTGCGTAGTTGCTTGGGAATACGAGCTTGCCACGGAAAAGTAGGGACAAACGAAATGTGGTGGATTGGGACCTCTAACCCGATTCCTCTCTACCTCTGCTCCCAAAATGTAACCTATACTCCACTGCTTGATCATAGCTATAACGGGAGTATAAAAGCAAGATGAAGGAGGAGAAAAGAGGAACTGGATTCCACAAAAGCAGGATAAAAGTGCGTACGGTATGATCCACGTACGCGCCATGAAAAGAACGATGCTCCGAGCTACACGCAAATGAGAGAGGGAATTCAGAGTTCTGCAATCCCTCAGCGATCGAGAGAGCAGCCGCATTTGTCGAGGTGCTGAAGAATAGGCGGGCTGGGCGCGTCATGCGTTTCGAAGGACGACCGCTGGACCAGAGCGATCACCGACTGGATTCCACGGGATGTCAAGCGAACGCCTGGACGACCGCCTATGCGATGGTCAGACTTCTTCGTGAAAGCTCTGAACGAATGGTATGAAGTTCATCGTGTCCCTCGAGCAGAGAGAGTCCATTGGGCAACTCTTGCACGTTGCAGGGACGAATGGAGACGTTACTGGCGCCCGCTCGAGGAACTCGACGATCAATGTGTATAGATGATACAGATGAATATTGCAAGTGAAGAGGAATATATCTTCCCTGTATGCTGGATGCCGCTATAAATTGTGAATGGTATAACTTGGGAAACCAGAGCTATTTTCCGACCGCAAGGGTGGAAGCTCGCGAAGGTACGGGGATGATTAGCATCCTCGTTCGAAAGCCCACAAACTGTGGTCTCATTGGTAAGCCTGATCTATTCATGCCAAATCAAGTTAAATTATCTCAAGGAAAAAATCTAAATCACATTACAGATACCAAGACATTGTAAATAAATCTTCAAAAAAAGTGAAGTGCTATAATTTACGGATAAAACTGAAACTTGCTGGAGTAGGGAGGATATTGCAGCTTGCCCTACAGATCCCTGAAATGAATAAAACTATAGCTGAAGGACGAAGCTTCAAGAAAAGCCCAGCACTCAACATAAGACTTACAGCAGCTCAGCTGTAGCGCTACTTGTTGAACCAGTCTGTGCAGCTGGAGCCCTTCGCACCTATAATCGCAATGTTCCAAGAGAGATCGATGGCACACAGTGGCTGAGACTGCACTCATACTTGGCGACTCCAACGACTCACAAAAGCGCGCGACAGCAACCGAGCGCGTACCACTGCTAATCGTTGGACTAGTGTAACCGCTTATTCATCACATTCAGAGCACCTTTAAAACCATCGATTACAAGTGCTCGGCCCTAGTCGCGCATTTTGAGAATCGAGCGTGTCGCGAAGTATGAACGCGACCTAACTACTTTCGAGATTCGATAAGTCCTTACAGCAGAGCCTCCTGGAGGTGGAGGGAGCAGAGGCACATTACCACCCACTCGAGCAGGTTGTGGACGTGATCGACCAGGCAAAGGTTGACCATCTGGGCCTTTCTTCTGAATAACCACTGCTTCAAAAGGAACTTGGCCTTGAATAACACTCCCACCACGCTTCAAAATGGGGAGAGAGGCAAAAAAACTAGAAGAAACACATCAACAACCATATGAACGACTATAGTGACGGCGTCAATAGAAAAAACCTTACACCAATATTGATAGAAATTGTCTGGCCTTCCTTAAACGCTAGATCGAGGCTAGGCTGAGGATGACTTGTTTGCCCTTCAAGCTCAGCAGACTTTTCAATATATTTGAAATGGTCCTGCAAAATTTCCCTCATCGATAGTATAAATTTATCATCACAATCATAAATGAAAGGGACGGTGATGGTACGGTACCTGTAAAGCGACATTCAAATCAAACGAGTCTCCTCGATCCGCAAAACCACAACCGACGAAGGCCATCAGACCCGCGTCATTCTTCAGCCGAAGAACAAAGTATCTTGATGAGTCAGTAACTGGCTCAATACACACGCCCGGATAGGAATCAATTGGACATTTCGCGTAGAGCTTACCTAAACACTACCTGATCACCAATAGTCTTTCATTTGTTTTCAAAACGAACTTAACCTAAGTTAACCACAAGAATACACGCTAGAGTTGTCAATGAAAGATAAAACCTTCACCCTTTAGGCTCTCGTAGGTCTTTACCTTTTGAAGATAAGCAGCATACTCTACCTGCAGTCGAAAACCAGTGGAGTTTTGAAGCGTCCTTTGCTATTACCTGCGGACTGCACTTTCAGCGCTTTCCTCCCGAGTAAGTTTGGCAACAATTAAGGACTCTAGATGCGTAGAACGCTTGGTATTCCCGGGTGAAAGCCGATCCGACAGCTGATCCCGACACCGTGCGGCGGCACAATTTTCACCTACAGCACTTCTTGTATTGTAAGACACATAGCTCAGGAGCATAGTTATGAAACAAATGACTAGCGCATTGAAGAAATTAAAAAGCAACCATAGCTTAGAAAGCATCAAAAATGTTACTAATTGCACAAAAAGCAATCAAACTTGCAGGAGCCAGTCTCCATGTGTCTCACATGTTAACCATGTCTTTACATGTAAGCCCATCCCCACAACAGGAGGCGGCATTCCCGTTGACGTGTCTGACAGGTTGGTACTCGTCTATAAAGTTGGATAACTCGTACGATTCCCTTGAATGCAGGCAAGGCGCCATTGCTGGAGGCGGGCGGTTGTTGCTCGCGCCATTGGTGGAAGGGTCCGAGCGGGCGTTTGGCCACCCCCGCTCAGCCTTTAAACCAATGGCGTTGGCAACATATGCCAGCCCCCACCCCTTGCGCTCACTGCCACTAACTATAAAATTTTAGTAGGTGATAGCCTAGATAAAAAAGTTAGCATAGCTCTGGTGCTAAGGCTTCTGCAAGCGTTTACATATCTCATCGAAGCGTCTTAACAAACTCGTTCAATTTCGCAGATTCTCAAGAGTTTACAAGCCTCAGCAAGGTAAGAAAACTGATGAAACTAGCAAAACGCCAATCCCCCAAGGTAAACCAACGCAAACCAGGAAGATACGCAAGAATACATGCAGACTAACACATACCCGTTGATTTGTCTTCTAGTCGAAGTTCTAGCCGTTTACCAATTGCCACCAATTTCATGCGTCCAGTCCAATCAGGTGCATCGAGCTTCCAATCTGCGGCTCTATAGAACGAGAGATTCATTTTTTCAATGTAAAGCAGATCCGATAAAGTGAGAACATGCTTCATTTTGCATGGGAGATTTTACACATTATATCTTTTGAGGGCATATACTGCGTTCATTTTATGTTCGGGCGCCTTATTCGGTGATAGTAGCCGTGCCTGCGAGCACGGCGAAGGTACTATTTTTACAGCTTGTGAATACGCGAGGAAAGAGCAACCTGTTCGCGATGAGGCCACGGCTGTGCCTTCTGGCCACAGCAAAACCGAACTTTTATTTTTTCCTACCTGATAGGGCGGTTGTTCCGGTACTCTCTCCATGTCTAATGATGAGTTTGAAGTGATGAGGAGAAACAGCTCCTACCAAAAAGTGCGAACTCGTTCGAGCGCCCTTCCTTTGCCTTGTCATTAGCCTAAGCCGCACAAATTACCATCTTTGACCGCGGAGCGTGCCTTTTACCTATTCGTGTGATGTGTACGGTGGAATAGTACGTAAATGGATTACGTTCGAATAAGGAAAAACATCTATGGACTTTCGGAATAACTGGACTGTACTCACACATCAACTCACTTGTGCCCCCTATTCGTTCCAAGGGGAGGAATCCTATACACGAAAATTTCCGGTTTGACCAACGCGACGCTCTCATACTCCTCATCCATTCTCGTTCCAGTCCTGAAAAAAACACATGCCGATGTTTGCATGAGCTGTTCCGCCACGATGTACGAAGCAATCGATGCTACAATATTATCAAGCTACAGAAAATGATAAATAGCATAAGGAAGTCCATTGTGCTCAGAGACGATGAGCCAGCTGAACAGAATAATCGTGGCTCAGAGTCACGGCAGGGATAAGAACAAGCGTAATCAGCTTGCGGTGGTGAACTTGACGACGTTTGACAAAATCAGCCCGCAAAACGTGGCAATAACCCACGATGGATGGCATTCGTCGCTGCAGCACAACAGATGTCAAGAAAAATGTGGAGAAAAGTGACTCACACCAGAACATACGATTAATATAAGTTGCAGCTGAGCCGCGTAGAACAATTAGTCTGCCCATACGTCCATTTCATAGATAAAAAGCCGCAAAAGGATAAGGATAAAGTTTTCGCCGTTGATCAATATCAATCTTTTTTTGAGATGCGGCACGCCATACTTCCATTCAGAATCGTAGTGGCTTATTGAATGCGATGTGGCCTATACAATGACTTGCGGTGGCCAGCCGATGTACAAGTCAGTGTTTTATCCTCCCAGACGAATCTGGTACCAATTTACCGTCCCCGGAGGGTAGAAGGCTTGGTTGGCCTGGGCGGGAGTCGAACCCGGGATTTGGACCCAGGATCTTCGAGTAGTAAGCTCGCCACTCCTCACTCACCGCCTCCGTCTCCGATGAGAATCCATATTCACTCTAATCAGCACTATAATGCACCAGCACGACAAAAAAGCACGAGGTGTGCGCTTCATACCCCATATCTCGAGGATAAAGAGGGCGCGGTAACGTACTCCGTTCAAACGCGGCGGTGGTTGCGCTCATAATAGGAGACTGCCGTTTTCAGGCATTTGTAATCAAAAATTTGTCTAGCTAAGACAGGATGACAGTTTTCCCGAGTGAGAATATAACACTAGAAACGACCTCTGGCTTGACGATCTCTTTGATTCACCACCCTCCCCACTATCTAACCAAACAAGATCTTGTAAAAGATCTTAATTATCGAAAACATATGAAATCGAATCAGATTAAACTACATTGTTCAAACAAGGTAAGCAGCCACGCCCTCCATTCGCTTTGCCAAAGGGGATCGCAGTTGGCCTTCAGAGTATTTGCAGTAATCGGAAGGGTGGACGGAGTAGATGAGGTTGGACATTCAGGCTGAAAGGAGATCGAACTGAAGCAGTGGTTGAGGAAATGTTCCTCAGCATGGCGTTCCCTGGTCACGTGCATGTCGTTTTAACCAATAAGTTCCGGCTTCCGCTCACTCTGGCCTCCCAGCTAAGTCACAAATGCAGGATGCCGTAGACTTTCCTTTTTAAAACGTAAAAGCGAAAGGGCAATCCAGCCCTTGCGCAAAAGCCGCGTTCATACCTCGCGAAAAAGGACAATCGAAGAATCGTGGAAATGGAAAAGCAAGAATGCGCGAAAAAGAATAGATACGTATCGATTAACATCCGATTCTCCACCTCCGCGGGATTAAGAACGAGGTTAAAACGTTAAGAAGAATCATCAGTGAACTTGCAGTAAAAAGCAAGAACACTAGACAAACAACTGCAGAGAGACCAACAATACCCCAGCTGTCTCGTAAGCCAAGTGGATTCAACAAAGCAAGGGTGGCTACCTTGCTTTGCATCCACAATAACTCTGAGCTCATCTGCTGCGACAGCGACTAGAAAGCTACCCGAGGACATCAAGAGATTCGCAATCAATGCAGAAAGAATGAGGAAATAACCTATGAATCGACTGAACTCCGCTGTGATTCGTCACAATTTCGTCACTATGACATTTGTGAGAGTTGTCCAAAGCACTTTCCACCCATCCAAGTGCCTCCTAAAAAGCATTTCTGCTGGTATACTAGGCTATGATATAGGTGAAAGACGACGAGGTAGCAGAAAATCTCAGTGTTATAAAGAGAAAATAGAAAAGGAATTGCACAAGCAATTTGACGCGATGATGAGGATGAGTTGTCGTGCTACGCAAAGGACCCGTGACCACGGCCACTGCACCAAAATGTCGTCATGTTTTTTCACTGCGGATGAATAGGGCTGGGATATTTACTGGGTTCTCTAGTAATTCCGTGGGGGTTGGAGCCAAATCCTTCTTTTCAAAAAAGTGTGGGGTAATTGGTTGCAATTGGTCCTGCAATAGGAATGAATCGGGTGTGTAGTATTATTTTTCCGTGAAATCTTGATGTTTGTTCATTAGATGACGTGTTGCTGACAATTAAGCTCATTGGCGACTCAGCTCGATTGACGCTACTCAGATGAAAGGGGTGGGGTACTTTATGGAATCCTTCGCGCCAACTCGCATATCCATAAAAATCTTCTTGTGAGGCCAGAGTACCCCTACATCTCGAAATAAACTATAGGAAAAGGGGGTGAGAGGAGGGACAGCCTTGTTGAAAAAAAATGTAACCCTGTTCTCCTATATGTTTTAGTAAGTGGTCAGCCTACCCTGAAGTCCTTCACCCCAGGCCATGGGAAGAATACTCGTCGGGCATTGTTCACAGTCTGCGACCCTGACGAAACGGCGGTTGGGAGAAAAGCAAAAAATAGTCATCGATCGGAGAATCGCCAACCGCTAGTTTCGCCGAACCGCCGCGGTTCGGCGGTTGGGCGAAAAGCAATAGATGTGTATCGATTTCGCTGGCGAAAAACGCCACGGCGATCGAGCTAGCGTTTCGTCGAAGGCGAAAAACGTCGCGGTTTGGCGAAACGCCCGTCGATTCGTATCAAAACCCTTTCGCCCAACCGCCAGACTCTTCGCCCAACCGCCAGTCGATACGTATCGAAAGCTTTTCGCCGAACCGCCGCGTTCCAGAGAAACGCTGGACCGCAGACTGTGAACAATGCCTCACTCTGACTCGCAGTAGCTTCCTCCCTTCCTGTACGAAACGCAGGACCTTACTGGGGAAAGCAACGAAAAATTGGGTGGGGATGATTCTCGTACCATTTCGCAACTTTGAGTTTACAGGTTTGTACGAGATAACCGGCACATGGGAAGGAATTACAGACTGCCCCCCACACCTCACCTGGACCAAAAGGTTGTCCTGTTTTCCAACGTCCTGAATCTCATGAATCTCAGCTTTGTTTGTTTTTTGTCCTTTTCCACATTTTTCTCGATGAATGATGAGCTGATGCCCATTTGAAATAGTGCTGAGATCAGCCGTCGGTGCTGACGTAGTTGGGAGGGCGGTGGAGAGGGACCACCTGGCCATCCCTTTGTAGTCCTTCCCTAGGCTTAGGCTTAGAGCGCAGACGGCCAGGATCGCCGACCGAGTAGACAAGACATAATCCTCACTGCCTGATCACTGATTAAGGGAAGGGATACGGAGGGGGCAACGAGTGGTTCCCCACCCCTCCTACCAACTGCTTTAGCGCCCTTGGAACGGGCAAATCGTAATATGCCGCTCCGCCGCGCGCGGCGATGTTTGCGGCGTTTTCTTAACTCGTGTTAACTGTCGATTGGAGCACCGGACTTCATGTAGACCCCGTCATCGTAGACATTCATGACTATTTTCGGTTCTGAATTGCCTGTTGTCGCCATCTACTACCTGGAACCATCGTCATTTGCGGGCGCGACGTCGCACGCGACGCCCACCAGCGCGGTGAATTACGATTCTCTTGTCACATACCCTTAGCGTCCAGTCGTCTGCCTGTGTCACACTCATGAACTTGCGAAATATGTGCTCATTTTGCCCATTCGCCCATTATGAAGCCCTCGAACCGCGTGCAATCGGTCTCCCCAAACAATCGGGTACAAGCTTACCAAGTGTTGTTTGGTTTGTACATCACGGGCGCGATGAGGTGGCTCTCAGGCTTCGTTTATACTCTGGTCAGCGTTTCAGCGCACGTCAGCCTTTGCGTTACGCGGGTACTTTCCAACTTTTCGCGGGCAGTCGCTGAAAACGCTGACGTACGATATGTCGATGTGTATATTTTCCTAGTCGCTCAAAATGCTGCTGCACGCTCAAAACGCTGACGCAAAGTATGGACGCTGCTTGGTGAACGTTTCGAATGTTGCGAATCGTTACATTTGAGAACTTTTGTTTTCTGGACTGTAGCAATATGAGTGTGCAAACCGCTCCCAATTCAAGTTTGAGCCATGTTTTCAGGTTTTGCATTTATCAGGATGGACGGGTCATCCGTGGCTAGTACAAAGGACACAGCTGGTGAGAGCAGTGACACAGCGTCTACAAGCTACCAGCCGTGTGAGTACCAAATGTCACAATGCCTTCTAATTTAGTTATAAATCTTGTGGCTATCTGTTGATTTACAGTTCCGGAAATGAGCGCCGAACAGGAGTTCTTTCTTTA